ATGGCTCTCCCAAATCTCTAGATGTCATTAGAGCCCAAAAACCTTAGAGTGATCTCAAATTTCAGCCAAATTCAAGATGTTCTAACCCTAGCAAAACATACTACTGAATACATAAAATTCAAAATGAAATCCCTAAATAGCACATACTTTGAAATTTCCCTCATAGCTCCCTCAAAAATCCTTCCTAAATAGCTCTGTTGGCCTTGGCAGTTTGAACGGTGCATACAGGAGGTGGAGAGGTTCCGCCTGCTATGCATGAGCCAGTCCCGTATGGACCAGCTGGACCAGTCTAACAACACCATGGAAGGAAGGTTTTCAACCACGGTGAATTAGATAGAGAGCTGATTTGGACGGATAGAGAGCCGATTTGGAGGGATGGTGGAGATGATAAAGAACCTCAACTGGAAGTTCTGAGTGCTAACCTTCGCCACGAGTTTACCAGGTTTCCCTTGGCCGAATTTAAAGGGAAAGAGATCAGACCGGAAGAGTTTGATGAAGAGAGTTCCTTTCATCAAGAGTCACATCCTAGGGATTTGATAAGGGGCAGAATAGGAATTTTAGATTGGGGGACAATAGGGAGGGAGTTCTATGGTGTAGTGGTAGGGTTACTGACCACTATTGGAAGCCGTTTGGGCAAAGGGAGGGGACAACAGGAGGAGTTAGACGAGACGAGATGAGCCGAGCCGAGCCATGTGGATCGGATCATGGGAGGCGGATAAAATAATGGTGGGATTCACACCCTCAATACACGGTAGGAACCAGTAGCAGAAGAGGAAGTTGGGGTGGAGAAGTGAAGATGAGAAAGCTGAGGATGTTGATGTTTAAAGAAGAGGATGCCCATGGGTGGGTATACCAGGTGGAGAGAAGTTTTGCAATGAATGGGTTGAGAGAGGAGGGCAAGCTTATAGCCATAGGGTTATGTTTGGAGAGGAAAGCCCTTGCGTAGTTCCAGTGGAGAAATGTTAGATATCCGATCCGTTCGTGAGAGGAGTTTAAAGATTGCTAGTTGGAACATTTCTGAGCCATGCGGGAAGGAGATCTACACAAGTAATTCCTTTCCTTGACTCAAGAGGGGACTGTTATGGAGTACTGGAAGAGATTCAAATTGTTGTCGGGAAGGTTGAGGGGAATTTCAGAGGCGGTCCTGGAGAGAAATTTCATGAAGGGTCTCAAGCCCGACATATGAGCGGACCTTCGATTGTTGAGGCAGAGGGGGTTGAAGGAGACTTTGGAGCTAGCACATATAGCAGAGGATCAGAGTCAGATGGAGAGAAGAATAAGAGCGGGGTTGTGGGAGGCTGTGACAGAAGTACCTCAATTTCATTGGCACGGAGGACCCAAACAATATCATTTCAGTGGGAGGCACCAAGGGAGAAGAATGGGGGAGTTCACCTAGGGGCCACTTCAAGCGTCTCTTAGAGGCGAAGTTGATAAAAGAGCGAAATGTTTGTGCTTTCGTTGTGATGAGAAGTATGAACCATACCATATGTGTAATGATCACACACTCTAGTCCTTCTGATTATGAGGAGGAAGAGATTGATCATGAGAACCTGGTGGAGGAGGCAGAAGGAAGAGAGCACCTACACCTTGATATGGTGGAAGTGTCCATAAATTTTGTGATAGGATCTACTCCAAATCACATCATGAAGGTGAGGGGACAGATCGGGGAGCAGCTAGTGGTGGTCTTGGTGGATAGCAGAGCTACTCATAACTTCATCTCCTACCGGGTCGTGGACTAATTGAGATTGAAGTTAGTGGATACAGGGAGTTTTGGAGTCATGATGGGAACGTGAAAGGTAGAGAGGAATAGCGGGATTTGCAGGAGGTTGGTGCTGACACTCCAGAGCATATAGACAGTGGAGGATTTTCTTCCTTTGGATTTGGAGAGCACCGATGTGATCCTAAGGATGAAGTGTTTACAGATTATCGAGGAGACTAAGGTGGACTAGAAGTCCTTGACTAGGGCTATTTCAGCAAGACATTTGTGGTAGAGACGAATGCGTCAAGATATGGGTTGAGAGCAGTGCTCATGCAGGATTATCGGCCCATTGCTTATTTTAGTCAGGTGCTCACTACTAGGACGAGGCTTAAGTCCGTATACGTGCGGGAGTTGATGGCGATTGTTTTGGCCATCCAAAAGTGGTGACCCAATTTGTTGGGATGATTTTTTATTGTCAGGACAGACTAAAGGAGCCTGAATTTTTATTGGAGCAAAGGATGGTGACTGAGGAACACTAGAGGTAGTTGTTCTAGTTATTAGGATATGACTTCGAGATTCAGTATCGCCCAGGACTAGAGAATAAGGCCGCGGATGCACCATCACAGAAGACGAAGAAATCTAAGGAGAGATAATTAGGAAGGTTTTAATGATGATTGAAAGGGAATTATTTAGAGAAAGAGTTCAAAATTGAGAGGGAATTAATTTAGGAAATGAGGCTGATTTGGGAGGGAAGTAGGAAGAGCCTATTTAAAGGCCAACTATGTATTATTTTGAGTTATGCAATTGTTTTTTCTGATGTAGCTTTTCTTTGAGAGTTTCCTAGTGACGTTTATGGTTTGTGGGAGAGTCAATCTATCTCTCGAATAGTTAGATGAATTGTTTTTTTTATTATTTATTACAGGAGTAATAAAAAAACATGCCTCATATTTGTGTTCCATCAATTTCTTCTTCTCTATTTTGTTGTTTTTGCTTCCAAAACGCATCAAATTGTTTATAAGTTAAAACAACATACACAATACCACAACAACATCAAGCCTGTATCCCACTATGTGAGGTTGGCTACATGAATTCATTTTCTCCAAATTCTCATTTAAATCTAATAAATAAAAGTCATACACAATAATGATGCAAAATAAAAAAAAATTATATTCACCAATGAGAGCTAAAATGGAAGTTTTATTCATTATTGAACGAGTTAAATTTTCATGCCTTTATGTACCATGCTCCATTACGAAGCATATTTGAGATCTTTTTAGTCATCACCAATGAGAGTTAACTCAAATATTTTCATCACTAATGAAAATCAACATAAACATCATAAAATAGGTCCCAAGTAAAGCATGCATGCCTGCATGTATACATCCAAAATACGATGGTTTATTAATTATTTTACTTCAATTTATCATAATGCATGATTGAATGATAAATAGGAAAGAAAGCGACATAGAATAGTAATTAAATGGTCTCTTGTAATATAATGGTGCTGGGTTTTAATCATGAAAATAACCTCTTTGTTATTATAGCAATGAGATTGCATACAGCAGCCACTCCCTAGTTCCTAATTTGGGTAGATCTTTTTCTATTAAGAAATGGGAAACTAAAAACACAATATTAATTTGCCCATGATTCCTTGATGTTTATGCTAATTAATTTAAATTAGATTATTTGAGAGACAACCCCTAATTGAGTTATTTTATTTAAAAGACATAATATCATTAAACTAATTTTATGATTTAACACACCATAATCAATTGATTTATATGTTAATTTCTTGCGTACGGGTCTGGTAGAGAGGCCAATTTTTGACCTAGAGGTCATGAGTTTGAATCATGGAAGCACCCTTTCTGTAATGCAGGGATAAGGCTGTATACATCAACACCTTTCTAGAATTTGCATTAGCAAGGGCTTCTAGCATAACATATGCTCTTTTTATGTGTAATTTTTATTAAATTTCCTGCTAAATAATCGAACAAATGAAATGTTTACTTTTTTCACTAAGATTTTTTGAGTATAGGCTACTGTGTTGCGATAGCAATGATAGTATTCCTCATTTGGCAGTAATGTCATAACAAATTTATCGGTGTAGTAGTTCAATCCCTCACGAACACCAATGATTGGAATATAGTAATAGAGAAGAGAAAGTAAATTGTTTTTCCTCTGTGGTGACATGGCAAGTTAGCCTAGTTGCCCAAACAACAACAAAACAACCCCATTGATAAAGAGCTTGACATAAACAAAATAAACTAAGAAATGAGAAATGAAGGGGGAGACTGTTGTAGAAGATGATAGTGTTGGAGACAATACCTCTAACAGACAAGTATGGCTGTGTTGACATATCCTCACTTTTAGTAACAGGGAAGCACAGTAGTAGCATCAGGACTCCATAATAAGGAGAGGTAATTTGCCACCGCATGCTCTGCAGTAAGAGTGAAGGGAAGGATTTGGCAGTGCCAGATGCACTTGACTTACACAGATGGCCCTCTCCTAACAAAACACTGAAGAACCACCCTAATCATTCCTCATATGGAAAGCAAACATCATGTTGTCATGACTGAGATCTTACCTCAGTCGATTGTTGGTTGGTCTGAGTTGATTCATCCAGTCAGCTCAAAGTTTTTTTTTTTAATGACTTATTACATGCCAGAGAGGCATTGAGAATTGTGTTGCCGAAAAGAGTTTGGCAGATTGGGTATGTAGAGAGAAAGTAGAGGCTGGATTAAAAAAATGAATAGAAAGGAAATTGGGCAGAAAAAGGTAATTTGATTAGAAGTTGTTGACAAAGACTTCTTAAAAACTAAAGCTTATGCCACTTGTAGCTATCAATATAACAGAAGAGGGATCTTGAAGGATGTCCTAAATAGTTGGGATAAGGATTATGGTGATGCATCTAAATATCTATATTTCTTTCGTAACAAGCATGCATAATTGCATATCCCACCTTATTGCTTCTTCGTAATTGGTCTAATTGCTGCTGTGCTGTTTGCTACACTTAAGCACTGGCTTATTCTCACCCAAACGTAAATAATAAGGGTTAGGTTGGTTTTACTTTGGCCCTTGTTACTATCACAACTAGGCTCTGCTACATTTTAATATTAGTCTGGAACAGATTTTTGAAACAATGAACGGATATCAGTGGTCAATGCCTTAATCCTATCATGATCCTTTTTCATGATTTCCTTCATGCTTCATTCACCTTCTTAGCTACGCGTCTATTGTCTAAAATGACTTGCGGATGGGTAACCTGTAACTAAAGTTGCAAAACATTGCATGAAATATGCAGCCTCCGGTGATCTTCTGAACAATATTTTGAAGAGGCATGGAGCTGAAGGGGAGGAGCAGCTGGGTCAGGCGCAGTTTGCGCAGCTACTTCAGCCTATTCTGCAAGATATTGCAGATGCTTTGGCTGAAAAACATGTTGCTGTCATCCAGAATATCAAAGTCATTAACGGCTTAAAGTTAAAAAAGGTAATTCCATATACAAATTATGCAATATTTAGTTTTAAGTCTACACAGGTTTAAATTCCAACTTAATCTTAGGAACCTGCTTTTGTTTGGGTTATCCACTGAAGATGGTGCACCTTGAAGACAACGAAATTGAATTTAATCTGATTATCAATATAGTTTTGTACAGGAGCTTCTAGCTTAGTTGAGCTTTAAGGAGATAATCTTGTACGGAAATGAGCATTTATAAAGTTCATACAGTTAGAATAATAGCTGTCATTATCAGTTTTATCATTGACATGAATCATATTTTCAAGATACTGATATTTTCTGGTTAGAGATCAAGTTCATATCTAAAAGTGAATTGTTGACTATTGTTTGAGCTTCATGATCGATTGGAGCAATGAGAACAGTAACCACTTGACGCGACATTGCATTAAACGAGCTCGAAGCGACTCGAGCGTAATAGAAAACACTCAAAGTTTGCTCGTTTATGTAATGGGCTGCGCCAACACGTCTCAAATATTGAAGATATCAAAGAAAGCATTGTCCACACTCTGATTCGGCCGAACAATCGCGAAAATGATGATCTACGGATTCGATATTGTGTGAAATTAGTTGGACTTCATCCTTGAAACGGATAGCCAATGCGTTCAAAATGTCAAATTTATTAAGAAAGAACACGTCACGTTTGAGTTGAGCTAAAACGGTCGAAAATGATGAACTATGAGCACGATATTATGCAAAATCTCCTGATATCATCATTTCTAAAAATAGATCATGTCATTACGTATATAACGTCAAAATTCTCTAGAAATGACACCCATTTTATCTGCATTGCCGTATGAAGGTGAAACGCAAATTTGCCCATGCATGAAGCAACATGTAAATCGAGTTAAATGGGGAATGAAAATTCACAAGAGAGGCCAATTGATATCTATTTTATCCTTTTTTTTATTTTTTTATTTTTTATTTTAACTAAATTTACAAAAAGAAAGAGAAAATCAAAATCAAGCACTTCATTAAGCCAATCACATGCAAATATTGATGAAGTCGAAGCTCCTATCTCTCATCTAATTTTCTAATCGCTGCACTCACGTACTTTGTGCTCTATCAACTCCGTCTCATTCATTGCACTATAAATAAAACTTATAGCTTTATTTTTTTTCTTATAAATCGGCCTTAAAAATGGCTTACTAGCTGTGATAGCTGAAGTCATACTTAACTAAAATTTCTCACTGAAAACAATCTTCTTAACTTTTTACACAATCTAATTACTACGTGTAGGTGAACTTAACCTCCAATAGTAGCCTTGCTTTTAGGATGCCTTGTAGGGTTAAGTATGTTGTAATAGATCTAATAGTTGAAGGTCTAGTGAGCTCATTTTTTGAGAACTTTGTCAAGTCCAAAACCCAACTATGATAGTTAATGAATTTGATAATATTCTTGCCTTTACTCAAGACATTTTTATTTTGAGGCTACTCTACATTTTCACGGTTTAAATCAATGCAATGTGTGGCACTTGGAATTTAATAAACATGCTCTCTCTTCTAATGATTATGTATGCATGAGCTATTACTTGTGTTCAAACACAAGGTGGATTGACCAAGTATTTCCCTATTTCGGTTGGGTTACATCAAGGATCAGCCTTAAGCCCATATCTTTTTGTAATAGTTGAAGGTAGTGAGCTCATTTTTTGAGAACTTTGTCAAGTCAAAAATCCAACTATGATAGTAAATGAATTTGATAATATTCTTTCCTTTAGTCAAGACATTTTTATTTTGAGGCTACTCTACATTTTCACGGTTTAAATCAATGCAATGTGTGGCACTTGGAATTTAATAAACATGCTCTCTCTTCTATATCAATTTATTTCCTACTGCTTTATAAGCACTAGTATTGTCAGTAACAACTTGGACTATTAGATACTCTCTAACTCCATTAATTAGTTTGAAAATGTCATCTGCATCCTTCACCTAATATGATGCTGCAATAAAAATTTGATAAATAGTATCATGAGGATTTTTTTATTAGAATATTGATCAAATTTTTATTTTTAATAGTCGAGCAACCGTTAAACATGAATGTAGCTGTAGTTTGTGGACAACTTTTTTTTTTTTTTAATTTCCTTAGTCCTATTTAGCTCCCCCTTTAATATCTAATTCTTGAAGCCATACATGGAATGATATTTAATGTTTCGATTATATTTTTGTCAGTGATGAATGACGCACCATAGTGCATAGTGCACGACGCGGCAAACCATTTTAAATATTGCACATAATATTAAATAATTATAAATAGAAATATACATTGATATGATATACAATTAAATAGAAGGATAAATTGTCATGATAATAAAAACAACCTAAATGATGATTAAGTTTAAGTAATCAACATCTTAATTATTCAAAATTCAAAATATTATAACCCTATTTATTTAGTCATTAATTAAACTAATCTCCCTAGTCGTCATCATCGTCATCATTATTATCAGCAAATGTCAAAAAAGCATCTTTTATTTCATCAACATCATCTCTTAATCCATATTCCTTATCATTACCACAAAAATACACATCATATAAGTATTACCACCTTTATTTGTCATTGTCACATATTTCCATGCAGTAATTTTTTAGTGCTTTGAACTATATCCTACATTTTTTTGAAAATGTATGATCAAGTATGTATTCAAATGTTTTTATCTTCCTTTTAGATGTGAGTGATGGTAAATAATAAATAACCATAAAATCAATTGATTCGATGAAATGTAAAATATATTTTATAAATAACTTTTGTCCCCTTTTTTTAAATTGGTAGGTTATTAAATAAATGATAAAATTAATAAATACAAATATAAATATTAATTTTAAATTTAAAACGAAAATTTTGCACATCATGTGGATTTTGTCATGCATTATTACTCGTGTATGGTACATATAACATGCATAATTTTGAACATATTTGCCACACCAAGCAAATAGCTATGAGGGTGCACCGCGTGATGCGCTATGACCCGTGCTATTTTTTGCCATTAACATGTATGGCTTTGACAATATGAACATACAAAACGAATCATGTTTACATAGGATGGGGAAGTTGCCACATTAAATGAAATTGCATTCTTATAGAAGAATCTTCAATTGTCCATATGAACACGCTTGCATGCTTCTCTTACATTTTGTGGAGACATTCAATGGGACTCGCATACCATCATTCTTGTCATACTCATTCATTATATATTTGGGCTTGTTTGGTTCGGTGGTGGTTGTACAAATTCGTTTGAAATTAGTTGTACAAAAAATGGAGCTAAGAGAACATAATAATTAAGCTTATTATGATGTTTGAATAAATTATTACTCATATCCAAAAGCAGATAATAACTGTTTGGTTTGGTTGTTAGCTTGAGTGCTTTTATTATAAAAGATTAAAATGCCAATGTTTCAAAATTCAATTTATGTAATGCCTTCTTTATATTTTCTTAATAAAATTGTGCATATATGCGGAATATTTAGAAACAGTAATTTATATTATTATAACTTAGAACATATGATATTGTACTCTTATAGATTTAGAAGTTGTTAATGTTATTCAAATTTGAACTAGTTCATATTTTTACTTGCCTCAATTTATTAATTATTGCATGAAAGTTTTAAACATTTTAATAGCTCCAATTGTGAACAATTCATGAGCTAAAAAATTTTGTTCATATTCTGCTGTTTTTATCAACCCAACTATTTAAAAATTGAGTGACTTCACAAAAGATATTCAATGATTTCAAATAGTGCATTGAGGTGGCTGCAAAACTATATGTGCATTTATTTACATACACTTACTGTCAAATCTAATATGATCTTAATCTCAATTTTTTTATGTTTTTGATTCAATTTATCCCTCTTCCGATGTAATTATTTTTATACTACTGTAAGAATTTATTTTTGAACTTCAATTGATTAATTATTCCTGCTCTGATGTTATATAGTACTGAGTTAAATTTTAAATTTAGATTAAGTAAATCATTTATTAATCACATATAAATGTTTTTATATTATAGTGTGGAGTAGCATATGAAATGTTAAAATCTCTAACTAGTACTCACCTCTCTGTCATAGTATGGTGGATCATACTATATATAATATCTTCTTATCATTTTTTAATAAAATTTAACAAATATATTAAATATTTAGAAATAATAATTTATAATCTTTTAATTGTTAACATAACACTTACTATGATTACAGATAAGTACATATATTACATCATAGTTAAAATTAAATTTTATGTAGTATTACTTTTGTAAATATATAGACAATATGAATGCATTCAGGAGTTACCTCTGCATTTTTCATTTCTACAAAGTAATCAATTTTATATTATTTTGAAGACTAAAAACATGCAAGAATGAGTGAAGAATTTGTTCAAATTTGAATCACGTTTACTTGTAAATCTTTAATCGTACAATGTCATATGTTGTAAATTATAATAAGATAAATTACTTTTTCTAAATATTCCGTATATATGTACAACTTCGTTAAGAAAATGTAAGAAAAACATCCTTTTCTCTTTATCTTTGCATTTCTCTAATGAAAAACCGTCTTCTGCAGGTTTCATAGCTGTTAGCATTTACTCATTGTGGAAATATTTCACATATAGACTCTTTGTTAATACAACAGTTAAATAATTCAGATTCCATAAGCAATGAACTTTGTGGTAAATTTTGATCAGTCTTGTAACACTTTAGGAAAACCTGGTGGCTCTTATTTCAGTGCAACCGTTGCCTCTCTTATGTTCTACATGCTCAATTTTTTTCTTCATTTTATTTTTTTTTTAATTTTTTTTATTATTTATTTATTTATTCTTTTTCTTTTCTTTTTTTATTTTTTATTTCTTCATATTCTGTATAATCTAGGTTATCATTTTATGATTTCATATTATGCTTGGTCAATCACTAATTACGTTCTTGGAAATGAGAATCACAGATTTTAAATGAGAAGAAGCTTTTGAATGATATAACTGGGAGGATCTTCCATGAATGGCAAGAAAGCGGAAATGGAGCATGGAACAAGGAAACACTGGCAGGCCTTCTTCAGGGAAAGGGTTCAGAATTAGGTCTACCTCCATACGATTCAAATGAAGAAATAGGTTTTCTATTTGATCAAATCTTTTCGAATACTTCTCAAGAAAAAGTTACTGGGAATTGGGACAGGGAAGCATTTCAAGATGAAGTAAAGACTATCCTTAAGATGCTCGCAGAACTACTTGAAGCAAGCCCAGTTTTCCTTGATAGGGAGAGTTGAGGCAAGCTGTTTTTCACCTCTTCATTTTGCCTACATCATGTTTCAAATACAATGTTAATTGCTCTTTTCCTTGCAAATTTTCTACTGTAATTTTTATGTGACAAATACTGATACAGAGACCTTTACTGTAGATAAACATGTTACTTTTTAAAGAAATTATCCTTGTTAGTCAATTTTTTTGAGAATTTTGAGTAAATTTAATCTTAAACTCAGATTCTGCTGTTGTTTGTCAATCTATTTTCTTCCTTTACAACTGGCGTCTATCTTAGCCTTCATGTTAGCTTAGTAGATAATTCCATTTTTATCAGACATGCCTTCTTAATCTTTGCTATCATCATAGTCTATGTTGATTAAGAATGAGTAATTGAGATCGATTATTACTTATCAAGAAGATTTTTTTGTCCAAAGATTTTAGTTATCTAAATATTTTGTGAGTAATGAGTTTGCCTATGACAAAACATATACTTTACCATCGCAATCAAAATATGACACGAATCTCCTAAAGAAGATTGGTCTTTTTGGTTGTAAACATAATATTGTTAATAAAACGAATAATTTCTATGATGCTTCTCATCATTGTAGGTTAGTTGATAAATTAATCTATCTAACAACAAAGCTAATGTCTCTTTTTCGGGGGAATTATAAGTAAACACATATAAGCACCAAAGAAAATGTAAAAAAGTTGTTATTTATTATAATAGTCCAAACTCTCAACTTTCGAGATGTTGTCCACTCTGGCCTAAGGGCTTCACGATTGTCATGTTGGTGTAATCTCCCAGAAGGTCACCCATTCCTGAATTTCACCGGGATGAGTACGCTTAACTACAGAGTTTTTTAAATAAAATTACAAACATTACACTAAAAGACTCATCGATGTTAAGAGTTTAGTTTATTTTTATTTAAGGGGTTTCATAATTTTCCTCACTTAAGTAACTGACATCCTCGGCATAATCTTTATACCAAAATCATCCATCAGTCATGTAGGATTCTAGAGTTGGCCCCTACAAGTTCAAGTTGTGACTCCCGCCACGTGACACTTTGTCTCATACAAGATTCAAGAGGTGGCTCCTATGATGTAACACTTTCATCTTTCAGTTGGTTTATTGCTCTAATATTATTTATAACATTCTAAACTCTTAACTTTCGATAAATTATCCTCTTTGGTCTAAGGGTATCACGATTTTGTCCTATTAGTGTAACTTTTTGAGAGGTCACCTATCCTAGTATTTCTTCGGGATGAGCACGCTTAATTAAGAAGTTTCTTAAATAAAATTCTAACCATTACACTAAAAATTGTCTCGATGTTTAAGAGTTTAATTACTTTATTTTTATTTAAGGGTTTCACAATTTTCAATAATCATTCAACATTTGTCACCACCCTCTACCCGTCGGCGTAATTCAGTCAGTGGATTACAGGCTACAACTAGGATTACACCACCAACATTTTATTTCAAAGAAAGCCCGTCAGTCCACCCTCCTGCGCAAAGTATTATATGTTAAGAGCCATCCCATATTCATTATAGTGTTAACACTTGGTCTTCCTTGCTTGCTTGCATGCACATACTATCTTTTTATGCAATGTAAGTCAATATCATGTATGAAATATATAAAGTTATAAATACATAAAAATCTATCAAATTTATCTATCATGCATTTATTCAAAAAAATCATATCTTCCAATTTAACTGTAAAAAATCAATATAGTCCAGTTAAAATGCTCATATTGACGAGATCTATCACATATCAAAAGTTATGCAGTTAAAGTTTTATCAATACAAAATTACGAATATTTATTGGAAATGAAAATACAAATTTGAACAAAAAAAAAATCAAAAATACAAAATTATTAAAATTATAAATAGGAAATTGTTCCTTACAGCGAGACGAGCAAATTTTCCAATAAGTCTGACAGAAGAAAATTGCTTTACGGCCTCCAAATTCAAGCATTTATTTTCTCTTCTTAATTAATCAACCAGTGCTTCTATAAATCATCACAGCAATAGAAGCTCTATTTTCTTAATTAAGAAGATAAAATAAATAATTATTTCAAATTTAATTCTTGGTCGTTATGTGTAGGAGGGTGGGCGGACGGACATTCTTTTAAATAAAAGATTGGTGATTAATTCTAGTTGTATCCCGTAACCGACTAATCGAATTTCGCCGGCGGGTAGAGGGTAATGACTTTAAATGATTATTAAAAGACCTTGTGAAAATAAATAATTAATAGAAAAAATAAAAGATAAGATGAGATTGACAAATAGATATCTATGACAAATAAAAAATGCGTGAAAGAAAATACCACATTAAAGCTGAATTGTCTTGCCTTGCTATAAGCTGATTAACAAGCAAAGCCATACATTAAAGCAGCATCTTAAAACCAGATCCAGGCTCCAACGCCTGCCATTTTTTTGATGATTTGTTGACCATTCCATGAGGAAAGGAACAAAAAAAGAGCTGAAGATACACATATATTTGCAGGAATGGCTTAGTTTGGAGTGGGAAATACAACGAGAAATGAGTAGAAATTCAATTTTATTTCTGTTAATACAAAACTACGTCTAATTAGTTCTTTTATTCTGGTTAACTGTAGTAACAGAGAATCATGTCAACTGAAGAAGCCATATTCTCTAAGCATATATATGGATAACTTATAAATTTGTGACAGGCAGCCTGTGTCATATTTGAAGAAGACCTCAACTGGAACAATCCACTCCATGTATCTGCTTTGCTATGCCTGTAAAGAATTTGTGAGAGAATATAAATAACTAAGGGTTCGTTTGGGATGGCTTTCTTACGCTTCTTAAAACAACTTTTTACTACAAAAAAATTTAATTTTTTACTAGAAAGCTACTTTAAGCAGCAATAAGAAAGCCGTCTCAAACGAAGCCTAAGACTTCGTTAGGGATGGCTTAAGCAATTTTTTAGTATAATAATTAAAGTTTTTCGATTAAACAATTACTTTAAGAAACAGTAAAAAAGCCGTTTCAAACGAAGTCTAAATAAGAGACCATAGGAAAGCTTCAGATCTTTCAAACTTATGCTGAATAATGTTTTTAAATTCAGTAATGATATCAGAGTTGTTACAATTACATGACTTGTGGTAGCAAGGCTGCTTCAGTGCTGGATCATCTGCAGGTGGAAGTTGCCCGAAGATAATTTCACAGCTTTTGTCTTCAAAGTCTGCGTTTGAAGCAGGCACAGTCAAAATTTTCTCTTACATGTTAGTAATTACTTATCATAATTATGGTTTTCATGTCTGAATTCCTGTTAAAAATTCTTCTTGCACTATTTCTGGTTATTCTACACATGTTCTATACTTTATAAATCCTCGCTATTTCAAAAACCTATCTATCAAATGATAATGTAAATTTTTTTATTGCATATTGTTCTTGAGATATATATATTTATTTTAACAGCTAAGGCTCTGTTTGCAATAATTTTCTTATTGTTTTCTAAAGCAGTTTTTTAGTAAAAAAAAATTATATTAAAAACTTATTTTAAGAAGATGTAAGAAACTCGTTCCAAACAAAGTCTAAAATTTAAATCCATAAGCTATAGCAATAATATATCTATCCATTCTTTTGCATAATGTACACTTGGTTAATAAACATATAACATATGGGATACATTTGGGATTACAAAAATAATTACAATAATTATAATTAAAATTTTAATAAATATCTTTAATAATTTTCATGATTATTACATATATGATGATAATCTTTAAGGATAAGAATCTAAAAATATTCATAATTAATGAATTAAAAAAAATTTTAGTTCAACAATTACTAGTATTATTCATATCCACACTATGAATGGGACAATCCTACTATAATTATTAATGTGTGAATAATTATGAATTTATGATGAAACTACTTTACATAACATAATTATATAAGATTAAGATTAAAAAAATAATTTGAGCACCTAACAATTCGGTTTGATAGAGCACTCAAATAATATCAAAATGGTCCTAATCCCAAATAATTGATAGACTCTAATTAAATCGCTGTGAATTTTAATTTATTTGGTGTAAATTCAAGTGTTATTTTATACCTTCAATTTTGAAAATATAATGAAAAAAATAATCAGAAATATTAATTTATAATATGAAATGCACTCATTTTTCTTAAAAACAAAATTATAATTAGAGAAATTAGTATAATTTAATCTAGTTCAAATTATGATTTTTTTATGAATGATCAGAATCAATCTATATATAATTACAATTAATGCTCCATTTCTAATTTTAAATTATTTTTCTCATATTTTAGCCTTTGTTTCGGACGGCTTTATTACTGCTTCTTAAAGTAGTTCTTTTGTACAAAATTTTTAATTTCTTATTAAAAAATAGCTTTAAGAAGTAGTAAGAAAGCCTTTCATTGCTAATTTTCTTTCATCACAATTAAATTAGGCATCATTGATGGGAGACATACTTAATGGCAGCAATGATATTTTATTATAAGTAATAATTTGAGTGCATTTCCAAGAGAGAATGTTGAGGTGCAGTAATATGGGACCATTCAGGTTCTTAACCACAGAAAGTCTCAAGTGGTGGTTTGTTGACTGTTATCTTCTCTAATTTAGTAACTAGTGCCCGGACATGATGCGCAATTACTAGGCTTTTACTATCTATATTTCGATATATTATTCTTTGCGGACGCCAGACGGTTCTCCCGTCCAATTACGCGCTCGGTACCAAGCGCTCGATACCGAGAGCGGCATATTTTTGGAGTGACGTGACATATTTTTATTAGTCTCTGGACGAATCCGAACGCCGCACTTAATAATTTTTATTATATTTCAGCATGAAAAGGTTTCATTCAGAAATTGGGATAGAGAGCTTTTATTATTGATTTCTGATGAATCCCATCATGTACCTTAAGTGGTGGTTATGTGGCCCCTTAATTAGCTCACCTGATGTTGACCTTAAGTAATATTATCTTTAGTGTATCTAACTGTTCAGGAGAACTTTCTTATGGAATCTATTTCTGTTCAAATTTGTCTACAGTTTCATTATGATCTCCACTTGATGGATCTTTTTTAGAGAGGTATTAAAGCAAAGATAATATATTTATGATCAAATCAATTCACTACATGAATACTAGTACTAGTCATTTGTCGGTCGACCGTAAAAGATTAATAAATCGGTTTTTCTTATCATAGGCTCTATTTCTTTTTCTGATTTGAGATTGACATCAATTGTAATTCAACAATTTCGTAAAAATATTGTAATTTATGATATGATCGATCACAACAAAGGAGTGATTATGATTTTTGATGTATGTTTGCGACCTTTTTCTTGAGAAATTTGATTCTCTGACCTAAATATGTGTATGGTTGTATCTTACAGTTATAAAATTATTTACAATAAGACTAATGCATATGCAGGTACAATGAAGAAGACGATTGCAAATAATTTCTCGCGGTCGAAAATTAGCGGGATCTCAACTATTTTGAAGGTTACACTTACACAATAATCATGCAATGCTTGCATTTCATATACCAATTGGTAGGGCAATTACTAAGGTATCTATATACAAAATTACAAGACAAAATAATGGAAAAGCTAAAATGATATATTAATAAGGTGGCAATAGTAATTTGTTCGAGTTATTTGCATTGGTAGGGGAAGCATTTCCTTAATACTACATTGATGGAGGAGATAATTGCTTAATAAGTGTACTACAAGATGTTTGTTTCATTTCCTACATACCCAGAGGTTATTTTCTAATTTAATTATTTTCGTTCTTTGGTGAGTATGATGGTTTTGTTTCTCAAATTTTACCCGTAGAGAGGAGATACGAAATGAGTATATACACGAAAAAGTTGGAGTAGCGTCATTGGAAGATAAGATTAGAGAGAGTAGCCTTAGATGGTTTGATCACATAAAACGGCGGCCTTTCGATGACCCGGTTAGGAAAGTAGAGGTATTAGATTTGACTTATGTTAAGAAAGATAGAGGTAGACTTAAAAAGATTTGGTTAGAAAATATTAGAAATAATATTCTTTATTATATTTAAATAATAATTTAACTTTTAACACGACACAATGAAGAAAAAGGATTCATGTAGCTGAACTTACGTAGTGGGATAAATGCTTGATGTTGGTTTTGTTATATAGCGAAAATTTGGAGTAGAAATATAAAAGCTTACTGGGAATCATGTTGGTGGGCATCCCAAGAGAATTGTTGATGAATTTCTGAGAAGGCAACTTGCAGAGATTAGTGCACATCCCTACACAGTTTGTGGCCTCCAAAAACCTACACCACATCAAAAAGTTAAGTTTCATATTGCAACAAGATATAATTTTTTATTTATTTAGGCAAATAAAATGAATCTTTTACTAGCCATTTGTATCTATGTTCTATCTATAATTAAAAACTTAACACTCTAGCCTTCTTGTACAACCTTGCCAGTGATCGCTCGCATTGAATCATTGCATTGATCATTCTAATTATTAAGTTTGAACACCTGATCAATCAGTTTCAATGACCTTCGTGGTCTATTAAGATAGGATTCACCATGAAGATTCTGTTGACCGATCGACCAAGATAAGACATATATATGTACAAATCACTTACGTATGTAATGCATATTTATTTTGTTGGGAATCAAACTACGCTCGAAACAAACAAGAAAAAGATAAAAAGCGTGCATGATGTTCTTTTTTGAAACTTTCTTTTTTCTTGTTTTTCCCTTCAGTGAATTTCTCGTCGAGCTAAACTGACGGAATTGATCAGATATGTGTAAATAGTACAACCTGATTTATCAATACAATCAGATTCCACAAACCTAACATATTTATATAATATTATATAAAACATTAAGACCTTAATTAGGCACAATTAGAATAGATTTTGAGATAAAGTGATATTACTCATTAAATTATCATAGTGAGAAATCCAAAGCCTCTTAAAACTAATTTCAAATGTGATAATTTTGATTTCACATATAAAATAAGTGAACTCAAATCATGTCTACAATCTACAAGCAACTAATTAATGAGCCCTAAAGTGAAAAAATAATAATAATAAATCCAAAAAGAAAATACACACAATTATGTATAAAACGTAGCCTCAAATAAAGTGAAGAGAAAAATATGAATAAGATGAGACTAGAAATGGCACCTGCACTTATGAATGTAGACACTTTATTCTCCTTCTCCCATGGAATTCTGACTCCTCACCTTAAAAAATAATTATAATAATAAAAGCTTAAAATTACCTTCTTTTTAAGAAAATATGAATAAATATATATTTTTTAAATAAAATAAGTTTATATTGTAATGCATTATTAAATAAATTTAAGTAAACGTGTTTAAGCCTTTTTCAAATTGTAGGAATAAAATAAGCAGATTAAATATTATAGATTATATAATTATCCTGACCACAGGGCCAACAAGCAAGAGAAAAAGAATTGCTTGAAATCTTGAGAAAAGCTCTTTAGGAATTTTTGATGGTGGATGAGACTCCTTATCCTGTACATAGAGTAAAGCATTAGTTTTGCAGAAATCTTAACCAAAGATGATAACGATTTCATTTGTGCACACTTTTTTATTGCCTTAAAACCGAATTTAGTAACAATTTTCCAAGATTAAAAACCTAAGCTTTATTTGGGGCAGTTTAATTATTATTTTTTAAAGTACTTATTTTAGTGCTGAATATTTTAATTCTAATACTTCATTAGAACAACTTTTTTATTACTTCTAAAGTAATTTTTTATATAACAAAGAATTGTTGAATTAGAATTTTTATATTAAAAACACTAAAAATCTATTTTAGGAAAAAAAAATAATAAAACTCTCTCAACAAGCCAAGATTATGTATGGATTTAGGTAAATTGTTTATTGGATGAATAGTTTTTAATTTTTTTAATAAATTTTTAATGTATTTTGATATATAAATTTAATAACATTTTAGGATTGATTTAAAATTTTCATATGATAAAAAGCTTATCCTACTTATTTATTTTTTTTTCAATTGGTTGTTTAATCATGTAAATTGCTTGTTAAGATAATCAGTGAAAGTATAATTAATTAATTAATGTTTTATTTTTATGTCTTGCATTTACAATATTGTGTATATATATATTATATTGTATATAATATAAGTATCAAATCTTCTTTTATTAATATCTCGAACTTCATTAAAAACATGGTTAATAAAATCCAATTGAGTTCTATAAACTTTTGATTAAAATTTATAAATTTAATTATTATAATATAAAAGATATATTGATAACATCAATAAACAGTACTTAGAATAAAATATATCAATAAAAAACTTCTCCTTTATTGCTTTCCCTTGTTTTTTAGATTTTTTCGGTGAAATGACGAAACTTATCTCAGTACGTTCAAGAACCTCCTATTCTAATGCAAATTATGATAAGAAAATATTTTGTAAGCTAATAGGAGAAGGGACACCCATTATCCTTCTCTCTCTCATTTCAACACCAATAATACAAGTCCTTGAAAGGTAAAAGGCATTATCATTTTGTTTTGTCGGTTGGAGTGTTAATTTGATTATAGATTTGAAAATTTTAAAATTTATTTATAAATGAAATTATTAATTTGATTTAATAAATTATTATGTTGTAATTAAAGTTATGAACGGTTTCTTCTGTTTTAAAGCATCTTTTTAATAAATTTTTAAATAAATTTTAAAAACAATACGAAAGTGCTGTCCCAAATAATTTTAATATACTGTAGGATTATTCTTAACACTGTAATATCATTTTAAATATAATGTATTACTATATATTATCCAAGTTCAGCATGGAAATATAGATTATTTCTAATATGTATGCTGGATGAAATTAAAATCTCTAATTTATTGTATTTAGTATTGCGTCAATATTTTATATATCATAAATTCATTCATATATTAATAAATTATCAAATTATTAAAAAATGGGTAGAAAATTTAAATTTTTTTATGTAAATAAATAATTAAAGTCATATAAAATGACAACATTATTCGAGCTTCTTAGCGAGCGCATATTAAAACAATAAAATAGGTTTTTTATATATTATATTAGTCCTAAAAATTATGTTAAATTTTGTGTCATGTATTAAAATAATAAATATTAAAAACTTCAATGATATGACCAAAATGATGGTCTTTTAAGTAGTATATTTTGCTTAATATAACCTTGTGATCTAATACGATAAGTAAAGCTCTCCTTTAGGACATTTCTATTATTTTTTGCTTTTCAGCTAGTAACATATTTCTATTTGTCCATTGCTTTCAAAATCATTTCTGTAATGGGAAAGTTTTTATATAACATTTCTTATTATTTGATTTCAAATTGTAATTATATAATTTCTGTTTGGACAATCTCTTTTCGCTATTTTTCAAAAAAAAAAAAACAAAAAAAATGTTAGGTAAGTTGCTTTCTATATGCATCCTTAGAGAAAATTAATTTCTTCATAGCAACTTTATAATCACCTTATAACAAGGAGTAGCTGTCGCCAAAAGGGCCTTAAGACTTTGTGGAGCATCTTTCCGACTATTTTTGTGTGCATAAAAAAATTAATGTAATCAATAAAAGTAATATATGTTTGGTTATATAGATTTTTTTATTGTAACATTTTATTTTTAAAATCTATTTTTTTAATAAACTAGTAAATTGTGTTTGAAAAGTAGCTTTTTAAAGTATAAGCCAAAAATATAATTGTCCCAATATGAAAATCAAAGGCCTTCATTATATTCATTTTTCTTGGCTTAATGCTTAAAATATAATTATTGAATTAGATTTTTTTTTTTTTTTTTGAAATCTTAATTATTTTGACATCTTCGATTAACCATAAGAATTGCTTATGTACTAGCTCTGTTTATGATTGTATTTCATGCAATATATTTTGTTTCAAAATAAGATTATTAAGTGTCCGTTTGGGACAGCTTTCTTACTGTTTCTTAAAGCAATTTTTTAGTACAAAAATTAATTATTTTTTTTACTAAAAAATTGCTCTTAGAAGCAATAATAAAATTGTCCAAAACAAAATCTTATATTACAAATGTCATTGATTCCAAGCATTACTTATTATCCCTCAATATTAAAATTTATTTGAACCATAAAATTAAACTATTCAATAAATATGACTAAACTATTAGACATTCATAAGTATATCATGAAAAATAAAACTATTATGAATGTCCAATATTTTAGTTATTTCATCAAACAGTTTAGTTGTAAAGCCTTCAAATGTAATTGCATAAAGGGAATATATGTGTTGCATGAAATTAAGAATATGTGTAATAAAAAAATAGCTAAATTTTTTTTCTAGTTCATAAATGATGACTTTTTGCTAGTTTATTAGTATGATAAAAGTCGTTTTCAATATTGGTAATTAGTAATGTTATAATGTTATAGTGTAAATAATTATAAACTTTAAGGCAGCAAAAATGTTATATTATAAATAATTATAAACTTTATATTAATTATGCTTACATTAAAAAAATATTTTTATATTTAATAGGACGAAAGTCGCTTTCTATCCCTTCGAAATTCCACTTGCCAGTAGATATGCAACCCACTTATATTGTCCCCCCTCCCTTCATACAGGCCTGTATTTGAATCCTTTAAAAGAACTTTGGATGGTAAGGGAAAACTGAAGAAAATTAGGAGAACTTGCCATGAACAAGATGAACTCAGGGAAGGCCTTATTGAGAGCTTCCATGACTATCTGCTGCTGCTCCATGGCTCCATATGTTCTCGAGATGAGAGTCGCTGCCTCCACAAACCCCTCATACCCTTTCATATTCATTATCTTCATCCCTACAAGTCAATAATTATATATACTGATCGATTTCAACCTTTGAACAGATGAACAAAGAGAAACAACCATGAAATAATATAGGGAAAAAATTATGTTAGAATATCTGAGACATCATAGAAAATAGTCTATTACCGGCGACAACTTCCGGTAAAATATATCAATTTTCCGGTGGTTATGAAAAATTCCGGCAATTTTCCAGCGGCTTTAAGAACACCGGTTTAAACCGCGTAGGAAATAGAAATCGACAATTTATTTCCGGCGGCTATAACAGCCGGAAATTACTGTTGCCAAAACCGCAGGAAAACCACCTGAATTTGATGATGTAATAACCAAATGTTACGCCGGTCATTACCACCGGTGTTTCCCGCGGTCAAACTGTTAGACAGACGCTAGATATTACTGACGACAAATAAAATAACCGACGATTTTACCAACCGTTCGATATCAAATGATCGTCGGTATCCAATAAATTTCTTGTAGTGAGATTCAAAAGGTATCGTTAAAATTCTTAGATTTACGTTGAGATAAATATAATTTAGAATATATACAACATAAAGCATTAATTTCAACATAAATCTAAAGACTGTAAAGCTCATATTAGTGTATTTTACACCAAGGTATCCCCACCTAAAGTAGCTTGAATACTGCTTGACATGTAACTGATGGCAAGGCAATTGAACCAGTTATCATTATAGACCGTCTTCTTTATCTCCGACGTTGCCGGAGCAGGTTTAGCCTGTACAGGTGCCCAGGCTCCGGCTCCGGTGTTGTTGGTGCTTCTCGTCACCACCACAGCAGAAGAGGGATTTCGTTCTGGCAGTGTTGGTATCATCAACGGCAGGAGTATCCGATGGCGTTGTGGGAAGGGGAGAAAGCTAGCTGATCTATGGTGAATATGAAGAAGATATGCTTCCATTGCTTGTTTGTTATGGGAAGAAGAAGATGGTTTCTACTCTCTGTTCGTTGGCTCTTTGGGTGTGTATATAGCTGCATTAGATGGGTTATATATATAGTCACAGTGTTGCTAATAAAATTCTTTAATTCACAATAAAATATGTATTAAATAAATCTTATTCATATTTTATTATTATATAAGACTATAATTTACATTTATGATAGTGGGTTTACGTGAGCTATGCCAATTATAGGGTCATTTCAGGCAATTTTTTGACGGTTGTAACGACCAGAAAAATTTCATTTAAAAACGGCGGTTAAACTACTGCTAAAAGTCGCAACCTAAAGAAAATACCAGGGGTCA